GCAGTGCAGGGAGGCTCGTGCGGTGCAGCGGCAGCAGTGCAGGGAGGCTCGTGCGGTGCAGCGGCAGCAGTGCAGGGAGGCTCGTGCGGTGCAGCAGCCCCGAGCAGGCTGAGCAGGGCCCGCCCGGAGAGCTCCGCGCACAGACACCGCGGCGATGCTCCTTCATGCCAGGGATTATCGCCACCCTGTAGATACCTGCAAAAGGCTTCCCTGAACAGCCACAAACGGGAACAAAGCAATCTCCTGCCCAGGAAAAAGAGCAAACTCTCCTGTCCCATGCCAGATGAGCTTTCAGAAAGTTTGCAGGTTTTGTGGTGGGGAGAGCTGTTGCGGCCAGGGGTGGAGGAGAGATGGGAATGGGGTGTAGGGTTTTATCTCGTTATCTTTTCTCCACTGTTCCCAGTTTAGCATGCCTCAAGAGACAGAACCAACACAAGCATAAAGCATATACCCCCTCCTTGGCTGAGAGCATGAGCTGCTACTGAACACATCTTTCAGAGCTTGATATTAGGCCAAAGCATTCCTGCAGCATGGAACATGGGGTGCTACTATGGCACTGCGGGGTAAATTACTGACAGCAATGGGGCAGAGAAACACAGATTTGCTACAAAAGATTTCCAGCCATTTTGAACACTGATCTTGTCCATCAGATTTTAAACAACCTTTCTGTTGTTGTTTTTGCTTAAACTGTGTACATTGTGGCAGCACTTCAAGGACTGTAGTAACTCTGTAAATACAAATGAGATTATTACAAAGAAATCTGTCTCTTAATGTCTTAGAATTTATCTAGCCTTTCCTTGCATTTTATCCCACAGAGCAGCTATTCCTCTTTTGATTATGGACAAAGATGAAAACACTGCTTTATGGCATCCTTGTAACTGGGCCCAGTGGGATTCTCAGGGAACATAAGTCTGCTCCCAAACACAGCAATCAGGAGGTTTTACACTTGTGGTTTTGTCTTCTAGTAAGAGCAGTATGAAAATTTTAGAGCCATCTATCATAACTGAACAACTTTATCATTAATCCCACCATCATCAAACAGACTCTTCCCTTAGACAAAGCACTCTAGCTTTCAGTCTCCTTCACAAGCAGATGCTTGAAAGAGTTCAGTCTGTTGACTGGCTCTGCTAAGGGGCCACACCAAGTTTAGAACTACCTGCAAGTGACAGTATTTTGCAGTTAAAGCTTCCTACAAGACCACCTTGTCCCACTGAATGTGAGAACTACAAGCTCTCACATGCTAAGCAGAGTGCACAAACCACCACAGGTAACTTACAGCACCAAACAGAAAACAACAAGCCCAAGAGCACCCAGACACAAGTTTTCCAGAAAGGACTATTGGTTTCTGAACACAGACAAGAAGGGCAGTTCCTTACCACATGTTTATTCAGTGCATGATCTGAGGCAAACCCCTTGGGCCCTGAGGTAAGCACCTCCCCACTTGTTTCTTTCATCAGAAAGACAGAATCTGTCCTCTAGAGACTCATGTTTTCCCCAAAGGAGAATCACCCCATGTCACTACCACAGGCCTTCCAAAGTAAAGCAAGAGATGAAGTACCAACACACTGGTCACAAGTGAGTGTTGTGTAAAGTACTTCATACCCCATGCAAACAAAAAACTCTACAGAGAACATCTCTTTACGGGTACAGTCAAACTCCTGCATCCAGGCTGCCAAATGCCATGTGGGGTGGAACATGTTCTTATGTTGAAGAATTAAGTGCAAAGGCTGTAAGTAACAGTAAAACAGAAGGAGAAACTATTGAGCTGAGCATAGTGAACCATGGTTTTTACCACCTATACACATACAAACATCAGATCCACTACCCAAGGAACATTTAATTCACCCCCTGTCTTATTTCTAAATTAACATTTAGAAAATCAGGGCAATAACCTGATA